TTGAGGGCTGCGGGGCCCCGGATATATATATATATATATATATATATATATACTCATGGCAATCAAATTGCCCAAACTTGAAAAATATTGGATTGGTGTGGATAATGAGGAAAACTATTTGGATGGTGAGTTATTTTTACAATTAATCGTTGATAATTATAACTATCTTTTGTTTTCCTCAATAATGCAATCATTGAGATTTTGAAAAAATATTGGATTGGTGTGGACAATGAGGAGAAATATCTTGATGGTGAGATATTTTTCAATTAATCGCTAGTAGTTATAGTCGTCTTTTGTTTTCCTCAGTAATGCTATCATTGAGATATCTCTTGGAAGTATTCTGTTGGTGATTGCCAACTAGTGACTGATCTTCTGGAAATCAAGCTTCTTATACTCATTTTGCAATGTGGAACATCAAGGATGGCCTGAAAATTCTCGGGCAACCGATGTTCTGATTTCCCTTTTATGTTTGAGATGAAAAGACCTTTAGAAAGCTGCTTATTTATTTATTTATTGTTGGAATTAAGTAGTCATATGTCCCACTCTTTCTCTTTCTTTCATGAAACACGGTGGTATAGATATATATGTGTGCATATATAGATATATACATACATATGTGTATGATATACTACTTGCAATCAAATTGTCCTTAATTTTGTAGTTCTCTTTTTTCCCAGTGTTGACATTGAGATTTCTCTTGGAAGAATTCTTTTGGTTATTGCCAACAAGTGACTGATCTTCTGGAAATCAAGTTTCTTATACTCATTTTGCAATGTCGAACATCAAGGATGGCCTGAAAATTCTAAGGCAACAGACGTTCTTATTTTCCCTATTTATGGTGAGAGAACCTTTAGAAAGCTGCATATTTATTTATTTATTGTTGGAATTAAGTAGTCATATGACCCTCTCTTTCTATTTCTTTCATAAAGCACGTTGCAGTAATAATGGTATTTATACACACACATGTATGTATGATGTACTAATTCCATCAAATTGCCTTTAACTTGAAAATTTATTGGATTGGTGTGGACACTGAGAAGAAATATCTAGATGGTGAGATATTTTTACAATTAATCGTTGATAGTTTGGTTGTCTTTTATTTTCCTGAGTAATGTAATCATTGAGATTTCTCTTGGAATAATTCTGTTGGTGATTGCCAACAAGTGACTGATCTTCTAGAAATGAAGTTTCTTATACTCATTTTGCAATGTCGAACATCAAGGATGGCTTGAAAATTCTAAGGCAATCGGTATTCTGATTTTCGTATTTATGCTTGAGATTAGACTATTAGAGGACCTTTAGAAATTTGTTTATCTATTTATTTTTTGTTGGAATTAAGTAGTTATATGGACCTCTCTTTCTCTTTCTTTCATGAAGCAGTGCAGTAACAATGGTGTATACATATAAGTCGATCTTGTTCACGAGCTTCAAATGATGTTGTTTGTGAACATAAATGAATTGGACACATTCGTGTTCAAGCTTGTTTATATAAAAATTGTGTATTAAAAATGTAGTTCAAGTTTGTTTGTTTGGTTGGTTAAACGATCACAAACGAGATTTAATCGAACCGAGCAACGATTAGCTCGTCGAACATTTGGTTCGCTTGCGACCCTAATACTAGCAACTCAAGTGATGCGACATCTCCTTATTCATTACCTTATAAAGTCAAGAGTCTGCGTCTCTATTCTAATTTTTATGCATGTTGGTGGAATTTTACAATCTCTCCATATGAAAGTAAAATTGAAATTGCACTGATGGGGGATAATGTTTTTCATTTACAAATGGAAATCATATATGTTGCCTCATCTGCACCATGAAATATATTTTAAATGGCCTAATCATATGGCATTTTTCAAGATTAGTGACATTCCCAATATGTAGTAGTGTGCTGAGATTATATCGTTTATGAGTGAAAAGTTGTGAGGGCAATGATGGTGATGATTTAGAGTTTAGAATTCAACCATTGATTACACATGGAAATTATGAAATATTGCTATGTTTCCCATGATATGGCATGTCTGGATGGCCTGGAGCATCTCCGGCAACCACATCTTCCATTGCTTGGGAATTAAAGTGTTGCAAGGCTCTTCTACTTATCTTATGTCAGGGTTTCATTATCATCTAAGCCTTCATTTTTTTTGTTCGTTTTTTCTTCTTCTTCTCCAACTTGTTATTCTTGCTCATTACTCTTGAAGCTTAGTTATTTTAGTTGTTGTGCCTAGCTCTCTAATTATTTATTCACTAATAAAGTCATCTCCAACTTCTATTGCTATGACTGTGACAGTATATCCATCATCAATTCTCACTGCTTAGCATTGCTATGTTTCTCTGGCTATTAGATGATGAATTTCTTTTGGAGAGGCCACGACAATTATTGCTAACCATTGACAATTAGGTTATGTTTGATTCTTACTCTACTCTATTAATGAGGCATCAAGGATGGCATGAACCTACTTCTATTTAGCTGTTTACCTGCTTGTTTTAACTTTGTGTCATATTCTTTGCAGCAGTAGGAGCAGGAGGCATTTGTTTTTGAACAAGCTTGCAATCACATTATTGTTGTTTGTTTTTTAGTATTTTTAGTATAAACCGATATATGTTTGCAAAAATATGCTTTTGCAATCTCTACTTGCCCTTTTTTATGAGGTGGTGAGCAGTATGATGAAAGTTTTAATCTACTGCTGAATATTCTTATTTCTCAACGAAGTAAATATGTCAAACAAATTTTATTGTCGGTCATAAGTGGTGTATCCTATATTAGTGGTTTATTTCATCATGGGCATCATTTTTTGGGATTTTATTGTTTTTATTTATGATGGGTGGCGCTGCCTTTATGTTGGATTCAAGAAATTTAGCTTGTGATGTTGAAAATAATGCTACTGCTCTTTATATCTCTATGTATGTTAGTTTCATTTTTTATGCATTGGTGATTGATCAAAAAGGTTTTCAAAGGGAAACCTGCAGTGCTGCTAAATATTTATTTTCAAGGATTAGATCTTAATGATTGATGAGATGTTTTCCACTGATGATTCGAGCCGCCTCTATCTTCATCACTCATTACCTCGGAGTATGTCAGTTGTGATATATATATTAAGTCCTTCAAAAATAAAAATAATTTACTTTGAAACTAGGCTCTGAAATAATTTTTTTTAGAATTTTAATTATTGTTCACTTTTAATATTAAATTAGTATTTTATTGAATATTATACCAAAAAAATAATAATGCTTTTAAAATTAAAGAAAAAATCTTTTTTAAAATTTGATTCAAATAATTACCTTAAGGTGATTATTTTAGATTAGGGGTAATGTAATATGTTTATTTCTTTTGGATAATTCTAACAACCTAATATTTGAATATTTGGTTAATTTCTAGGTAATTCCAATTCAAAAAAAAAAAAAAAAAAAAAATCTAACTAACCCTTATTTTGATCTCTTTCAAATTATTAAATAGCTTGAACCTTTTCATATTATAAATTTTTTTTATTATGTAAAATCAATTTTAAAATTATATATTATTAAATCTCAAAAGTTTTGAGTGGGGTCTTGAAAATCCTAACCATGATCTAAGCTATTTGAATATGAACAATGGGGGATGGCTAGTGAACAAATTACAACTAACCTAGCATTTAATGTAATTTTGTATATTGTTCCTTTTTCTTTATTTTTATTTCTTGCATGTGTAGGATTACACACACCACTTAGTTTAGGAACTTCTTAATTTAATGACATGAGTGCAATATTTGTGTACTTGCATATGTGATGTGTAAGGGTTAGTGATTTTGATTCAATTCCACACAACTTAGAAACACCTTTAAGGACAAAAATTAAGAACTTGCATAGAAAACTTAGAAATTTGTTATAATTAGGATGTATCTTCCCTTGACTTCGAGACTTTGAAAAAATAAACTTAGTAATATCACCCACCCATACAAATTATTTCACTAATTTTTGGAGATCATTAGGCTTCCTAATCAATCTATTTAGAATTAATCCCTTAATTAATCCTTTAGCCTTAATAAAAGTCTAATAAATCAAGATTAATTCTTAAAAGTCCCTAAAATACCTCTAATTGACCCTAATTAATTCCTAAATCTATAGAAGTTAAAATCCATTTAATTTGACATTAAAATCCACTTTAATCTAATTTTAATCAAAATCAATGTTTAATCAATTTTTACTTAATTAAATTTATTAAAAATCCAAAAAATTCTTTAAAAACTTGCTGATCCCTCCTTAGATCATTTATGATCTTTGGAGTTGATTTCAAGAAGTTTAAGACTCATGGGTTCAAATCACTAAAAAGGATCCTTAATTGAAACAATTAAATTAATCCAATAAATGCCCAAATTTTCAAAATTCATAATTAATTGTATAAAATTTCAAATCAGCCAAACTCAGTGGCTCATGAATCTAATTAAAATCTAGTATTTTTTAAAAATGTCAAACCCCCAAAATTTGGTCAAAGTAAAAAAGTCAACATTTCAGTCAACCTTATGTCAAAATTGGGTCAAAACTTCTAAAAATAATAACTTTTCATAAAAAACTCCAAATTGAGTGTGTTACATGTTAACTCATAATAAGGCCTAGTATTTATTAAAATTTTGGAACTTATATAATTCAGTCTAATTCTAAAAATCAACTTTTGACCCCTAAGTTAACATATCTAGATAATTTACTAAAACCCATTAATGCATTCAAACTCCAGGGTTTTCTATTTTGGTTAATAAAATGATCAACCAATCTTTTAAAATCAGTAATCAACTCTAATTAATATTAATCCACTCCTTTAATTTTAACCAATTTAAATTAACTTAATCATCCCTCATTACTACTCGGTAACCTTTGCCTACGAGGCTATTAGCTTAGCCCCAAGAAAGGTGAAATAAACTTCACGGTCTCGGTGTGAAATAAAGGTAGTAATTAATCCTTAAAATATATATAAATGAAAATTTTAATATATTAATATTTAAATTCTAACCTAAATCTCCCTTTAAGCCTTAACAAATTCAAAATTTTAGTAACTTTAATTAACCACCCAACTTAAGATCTATCTCAGCCACACGACCTTTTACACACACTTTAGATGATTTGCTAGGACAACCAACTCTAGATCTAGGTTAGGCCAATATTTACTTTTCTACTGTGTGCCAGATTTTTTGTGATTTTACTGCATTATGGATGAAATTGCCTTGTTGTGCCTGCTTATTTTTTTACTACACTCTATGGATGATTGATGTGTTTGGCGACTGGATTACTTTTAGGATATGAATGATATGGATGTTCAAATAGTTTTCTACAGATGGTCACGTTCATACAGGACAATAAAGGTGGGCTAAATAATTAAAATTCAATTATAAAAATGCTTGCACACATGCTTCAGCTGCTAAGTCCCCCAAGTAATAAAAAGAGCATGACCAGTGTGTTTATTTATTTTTCTACATATATATAACTGCTTGGAAAAATTTTTGATTTATTAACTACTTAGGATAACCCTGCTGGAGAGTCTAGAATTTTTTTATTTATATACAAATGAAAATGTGCAAGTGTTAAGTGCTGTGAAAGTATAGTTTTGAGTTGGGATACATAGGTCCAAATCTCGGATTCCGAAGAGAAAATGACACCCCTTAGGGGAATGGTCCTTTTCTATTTAAAAATCCAAATTTGGATCACTGCCTCCTTGCCCAAAGAGGAAAGAGTGGCCTTCCCCTCAAAGGAAGTGCCCTCTTATCCATTTGGGCAGCCTACTACGAAGAATCGAAGGAGCCTAAAGAAAAGGAGCCCGAAGGAGAATAAGATTGAAGATTTGAAGACAAGGAGTATATCGCTCAAAACCACTTGCATCTTTATTAGGTTTAAAATCTGGATTATTGTCAGTGGTGCCCGACCACTTTACTTTTAACAAAACCCTGGTTTGTAATAAGCAAAGTAACTTCGCCTATGAACATTTATTAATTAATCAATTTATATTTGATGTGTTGAGATGATTGCGTATATAATTATCTACGTTTTTAGGTTCTGCACTACATTAGCTAGGTTTGGATGACTGTGGTCCAGCATCCAAAATTAGATTTAGAATTCGGGGCATATCTTTGATTATAAGACCCCAACCTTCGAGAATATAATCCCAAATTTTTAGTAAAATGCTCAATTTTAATTAAATATCATTTCAACCCAAAATGTGAAGCCCAACATTCAGATTAAGTTGGGACACTTCTGGATGGTTCTGGAATCTCAAAGTGTCCCCTACTTTTTTTCCTTGGTACTGTTAATAACTGCTCAACCTTGCTCCAATCCCTTTTGAGATTCCAAAATTCACCTCCTTTTTGATATCACTCCTGGAAAATCCAACAAAATTTTATCACTATTTTAATTAAGAGTCTTTGTGGGGGACTCTACTCCCTACGATGTAATTAATTACAAGGGCTTGCACTTGTTGGAGATTTAAAACCACATACGCTTGATTTTCAATACTCACTCAACACTTCTTTTGGGAGATATACTTCATAATGATCATTATTATCATAGTTATATGATCATTAACATACAATATTCTCTTTCTCCAAAAGGGATCTATCATGTGTTAATATCAAGTTTGAAATGAAATTAACTATCTCCTTATCTTAATTATCGTGGCTCGATTTTAGATTAAACCTCTTTTTTACCCTCTTAGGGTCATATGCGGTTCTCCTTTAAATCAGGATACAATAGCTAAGAGAAAATTTATGATTTTGGAACTAAACCTATTAGGAGATTTTATCTTCGCCTTTCGAGGCAATATATTATCACCAATGGTCCGTTCAGCTCCAGAATTAAAATCTAAATATAATTCCAAGTTTCCCAAAAGAAACATTTGAGGCTCAAATTAGTATTCTTTGGAAAAAAATTAACCAACGACGATCGCTATCGTCAAGCCCGAATAACTACTGAATAGTGGTATTTTCTCACTTAGGGGAGATATTATTTTTTCATAAGGTTTTGGGCATGAAATCAATGATAATCTACTTAGGATACTATAATTAGGAATTAGAACGAACTCCATTTTGACCCTTTGAGGTCATATGTGGTTTATCTCAGATCTAGTTATGGTATTCAAAGTAGGACTTATAATTTTGGATTTGAATCCTATTTTAAATTTTTATCTCCACTTTTTGAAGTGGTATAATTTTTCTAATAGGACGTTCAATCTTAAAATTCGAGTCTAAAAGTTTATTTCAAAATTTCAAAGAAAATTAAGCATTTCAAAACATGTTTTCAAAATTCCACCAATAAAAAATGGCATGCCCGGTGGGACTAAATCTCTCTCTCCATCTCTAATAGAGACAAAAATTCATTTCATCGGTAGTCTTAACTACCTTTTCTTCTGATGATCCCTCTACACATTTCTTTCTTGGGTGAGTGTGGCCAACATCTAAAATAAAATATATATTTACCTCCAATTTTTTTTTAGTTAAATATTGATTCTGATTTTGACCTTCTATCCCCAGGCCAACCAGTTGGGTGATAGTGTCAAATCAGATTTTTGAGATATCCTTTTCAATTCTACAAATTTATGTCGATGATTTCTGATTCAATACATAAATTCTTAAGATTGAAAGAAATTTTAGATATCTTAATTTTGGTATTTAAAACACCTTGGCCTTAACCCCTCACCCCTTTTTTTTACCCTTAGAGGTGGGGAGAGTTAGGCAACCCACTTTACTTGAGCTTTCTCATAATTTCATAAGCCTTCGGGCAAGGGGAAATTCTGTCCGTTGTGTTTTGGAATTTGCGAGA